TTTTGAGGAGGAGAACTGGAATTTGCAAAATTAAGAAGCAAGCAGATTTGTGGCCAGATAGTGGGGAGGGTACTTCAGGTATTTGTAGGTGATCTATGAAATTGTAATTCAGTGAATGCGTTAAGTTTACAAGGGTTCTCAGAGCAGTATGTAGATAGTTTATTTATTACGGTAGTCTCGTTATTGCTATCCATTTAAATAGCTAATGGTTCAAAGTCCTTGAGTTGGTAACTGTTGGAAACTGGGAGAGTATTCCTATATGAGGCACCTGATACTGGTTGCTGGGGGTCGTTTTTATTTTGCAAAAGGTTCCTTACCCTGTGTTTTTCAGTTTTATCTGCCTGATAGAATTCCACAGGACTGTGAAAGATAAGTAGAGTTCTTGACGTCATACAGAAGCAGCACCACTCTTTTGATTAAACAGGGCTCTCATTTTACAAGATAAATGGTCTCAAGGAACATGGATGCAGTATTTCTGGACGCTTGTATGCAAGTTTTGAACAGTACTTTCAAGGGAAGTTCACCTTGCGCTTGGTGCTGAGTTCACCTCTGTGCTGATGAGCCTGCACCTCGAAGCATGTGTTTAGTTGGGGGCCTCTCACTGTAGGAAAGACACTGAGGGGCTGGAACATGTCCGGAGAAGGGAATGGAGCTGGGGAAGGGTCTGGAGCACAGATCCTGGGAGGAGCGGCTGAGGGAGCTGGCGGGGTTCAGCCTGGAGAAGAGGAGGCTCAGGGGAGATCTTAGCGCTGTCTACAGCCCCCTGAAAGGAGGGTGCAGAGGGGTGGGGGTTGGTCTTTTCTCCCAAGTGACAAGTGATGGGACAAGAGGAAACAGCCTGAAGTTGCACCAGGGGAGGTTTAGATTGAATATTAGGGAAGATGTCTTCACCGAAGGGCTGTCAGGCATTGGAATGGGCTGCCCAGGGAGGGGGAAGTCACCATCCATGGAGAGGGATTTAAGAGCCATGTGGATGAGGGGCTCAGGGACATGGTTCAGTGGTGGTACTGGCAGTGCTGGGTTAACGGTTGGACTTGATGATCTCAAAGGCCTTTTCCAACCTAAAAGGTGTATGATTCTACAGTAACAAAAACAAACATCCGCCACCACCATCACCCACCCCACAAAAAAAACCCCAAACACAACGTTCCATTAGGAATATTTTGAGTATGAAAACAGTCCATTTTGTAACTCTCCATCAGGTACAGGTAGTGAACAACAGTTTCAATTCCCTACTCTTTTCTCATCATCCGTGAATATACCCACTTTCTCTTGCAAGAAGTCAACTGATTTGGCTAATAAATATCAGTTTTATCCAAATACTACATTAATTCCTTTCCCAGGACATTCAGCTCATCTTAGGTAGAACGAAAACTGTTTCAGTGCTTAGTTGTATGCCGTCAAACAAGGCATTCTTTCAGCATGGTCATTGTCATCTTGGGATTCTAACAAAGGCTGAAAGGAGCAGATGACATGTAATTCAAAACAAGCTCTGTCCTTCTTTAATCCAAGAAAAATGTTTTGCTGGCATTGGGAGAACTGTCATGCCCCACATATAATCACGTTTAGCAAGGATAAGTACTACTGAGTATTCAAGTGTGGGTTAGATGACTCTATTCTGGTCTGGCTGTTATTCAGTTCCTATCTGCCTGCCAGCTCTGCGCAGTAATACAGTGTCTACAGCTCTGCTCTCCACAGCTTCCCGAGGAGGGGGAGTGGAGAGGAAGGTGCTGATCTCTTCTCCCTGGGATCCAGGCAGGGGATGCATGGGAGTGGTTCAGAGCTGCACCAGGGGAGGTTTAGACTGGACATTAGCAATCAATTCTTTCCTGGGAGGGTGGTCAAACCCTGGAACAGGCTTTCTGGAGAGGCGGCCAGTGCCCCAAGCCTATCAGTGTTTAAAGGACCACAGTGCTTTTGGTGAGGCAGTTGGACTAGATGATCGTTAACCTTCCAACTAAAATACTCTATTCTACCGTTTTCCCAGTCAGAATTTGAATTTGCTCTATGTAGTTCCCACATCGCTCCTGACATACGCTTTAAAATTAGTATCGCTGGCGGATACCTTCATTTCTTTGGCAGCGAGGGAGTTTAAGCAATAGACTGCTAAATTGTTAAGTGTAGAAAACTGGTATTTGATATCTCTTAAAATGCTTAGCTAAATACCATTTGGGTTTTGCAGTTTGATAATTCTTTTTATTAATTCTCATTAAAATTGTCGTAAACTTCCTCATTTTGACATTTCTTTGCGTTCCTTGGGCACATTCTTAGTGAAGCTGTAGTGTGGGATGTCCTCTCACCTCTTCTTTGATCCAGAGAATTTATTTAATGAGGCTGTTACGGTCATGTTCTTCTTGCCAATCAGTTTCTTTTCTCCCAAGTAAGCCTTTGGCAATTAGTAGGCAGTCTAAGCATACTTTGTCTCAGCTAAACTGACCGAACTAGCGATCGTTAAAAATTAGTCCGTTTGCAGGTCTGGTCTTAGGGTCACTTATAGAATGCTGACCTGTAGCATTCCCCACGTAGTGGGGACTGTGATACAGCTGCTTGTTTCTCTCAAATGCAATCACTTGTGCTGGAGCCAAGTTCTGATGTGGGATCATTTGTCTTGGAGCAGTGCTAAGCTTGGCAGTCCGTATGTGTTCTATGGAGAGGAGAGTTCTGCTGACCTCAAGTAATTCTCCATCCGTCAGAGCAGTGTAGGAAAATTAGATCAGTGGATATTTTAGCACATTAGTTAGTAGGAGAGGAGGGTTTTTTTAATATTGGAAATAAAAGGAGGAAAAATGCTGTCTTCTAACAATACAGTACCAACTTTCTAATAAACTTTTTCTCATGGACATTTGCAAGAGGTTTCCTTTCAATGTTTTACTTCCTTGATGCATACTGTGAGGGGTCTGATAGGGCAGAGCATGTGGGGGCTTGATTGTTGATACTTTGAAATACAGCCATTACTCCTGATCTTTTGTGACTCTGGAACTACTTAGTTTTTGATACAGAACCGGAAAATCTTTATACTTTCTTCCTTAAAAGACTTTTCAGGTCTCTAACTTCAGCAGCCTAAGCTGTAACATTAGTCTGTCCCTTTGGAACAGACTAAATTTCTGTACCAGAAATTATTCCTGTGAGTTTGTTTTAATGGTACTGTAATCAGTATTTACAGCCTTACTGTGCTTAGTGTTTTGCAGACATGGTCTACAAAGGATGCTCAGTCCAAAAGAGAGCAGAGAATAGAAAACTTTTCAAGCACCTTAGTTGATAGCTGAAGGCACTGCCTTGTGCTGCTGCTGGGCTGTGTTCTTGTATGAAGTTAGCTAGGAGAGCATGTGTACAGTTATCACACAACCTGGAGACAGAACAAACCTTCAAATTGTAAGGCATGCCCTAGAAACATGAACATCTGTATTTTACCCCCTCAAACAACTTTAATTACAAATTACCTTTCTTTCTTCTCCAGCCATGCTGAGAATGTCGCTATGCACTGTCACTGTTCGCTTTGCGTGCTCTGAGCAGTGAGCAAAGCTGTAAATGGGAATGTGATCTTCTCTGCCATTGTTCTTCAGAAGGGGAGCAGTGTAGCTGAGAACTGGGTCACTGCTAGTGCTTGGAGAGTTAGCCAAGCCATAGAGACAAGCAGCAATGTTGTTATCAGTGAGGAGGTACTAGAGATGCAGATTTTTAGATCATTTGCTGTCAACAGCCAAAGATCCTATGTAGTGGAGGGCAGTGTGGTATCCTGGTTTTGTGCACTGTAAATACCAAATATGGTTTTGATGCTGCTAATCCTCATGGCTTCTCCCACATATTGGCATGGTTTGGCAGTGCATTGCCAAGTGCTACCTGCGTCTCTGCTGCCTATGCCCAAGAGAGAACAATGGTGTCTGGTGAATCTGCTTCAGAGGAGGTAGGGGCCTCTCTGCCATCTAAAACTGTAGTCTCTTCCATGTTAGAATCCATAGAATGGTCTGGGTTGGAAAGGACCTTCAAGATCATCTAGTTCCACCCCCCCTGCCATGGGCAGGGACACCTTCCACTAGCCCAGGTTGCTCAAAGCCTCATCCAGCCTGGCCTTGAAGACATCCAGGGATGGGGCATCCACAGCTTCTCTGGGCAACCTGCCCCAGTGCCTCCCCACCCTCTCCGTGAAGAATTCCTTCCTGATGCCTAATCTAAACGTCCCCCCTTTCAATTTAAACCCATTACCCCTGGTCCTGTCACTACAGGCCCTTTTAAAAAGCTCCCCAGCTTCCTTGTAGCCCCTTCAGGTACTGGAAGGTGCTATAACATCTCCCCGGAGCCTTCCCTTCTCCAGGGTGAACAAGCCCAACTCTCCCAGCCTGTCCCCATAGGAGAGGTGCTCCAGCCCTCTGAGCATCTCCGTGGTCTCCTCTGGACTCGCTCCAACTGATCTATATCCTTATGTTGCCTGTGTTGGTAGGGAAGTTTGATTATAGGGTGAGTGTGGAGGAACGCTGGCTATTGGCCAGCATTTTTATATCATTACAGGTGTGTGTGGAGTCCCTTTCAGGTTTTTGGCCATTATGAGTCCTAGAGGGGTAGGATGGTAGAAGTTTCTGTTTCTTTTGACAGCTAAGGGTAGAGATCATCTGATATGAAGGTAACATGAGACAACAGAGACCCTGAGCAGGACCTTAAGCAAACAGTCCCAGTCTATCTACTTCTCTAGTTGTTAGCCTCTTCCTGGCCTCATATAGTGTTCTCTTAGGAGCTGCTCTGTTCATTTTGTGAATTCTCTCTTTTTTTCTTATGGAGAAGTAAAGCTTGAAATACCTCATGGTCTGTTAGCTTAACTCTTACTGTGTTAAAATTAAAAAAAAAAAAAGGTTTTATATGGAATCTGCAGGAAATAAAATAAAATTATGGGATTTTCATATTTTCTCCAAAATAATTCTGCTTACATATGTGTAGACTTGGTCTGTAGCTCTAATAGACTGTTAGCTTAAATATTTTGATACTCTGTTTTCCTTTTTGTTTTCCAGGGCAGGGAAACCGCCACCTGGCTTACATCTGGATGTAGTCAAAGGAGACAAACTCATTGAGGTATGAAAGTAGGTTTTGTATGTATTTGGTATGTTGTATACACATAGGCACCAGCAGTAGAACATTTCCCAGCATTTTCCACATATAAGTATTTGTCTCATGTTCATTATTTTCAAATCAGTTTGTTTTACTCCAAGTCTGTCTCATACTATGCAGTGCTTCTATCAGTTATCTTCCAATTAGATGTCCTGTTTAGAGGGATACAAAACTGTAGTGCTCAGCTAGCAAACAATGACACTTTGATTCCTGAACACTAAATCTGTCCTAGTAAGAGAGAGAAATTTAAAATGTGTGTAATGGAAACTCAATGCTTTGCAGATCCTTATTTCTTTCAAACTTAGTTTTGGTCCAAAGCTGGCATCTTGTTTCCTACAAAATACTTATATAGAAGGTAGAAGGCACCTTGTCTTAGGAACTTCAGGAGAAGGAACTTGAATAACATGGGGAAAGAAATATGAAATACAAAAGAGTAAGAGTAAAAACTCTTCACTTTATCCTGCTTGTTTGAGATACTTGTTTGGTCAGGGGTTTTTTGTCTATTTTACAGTGAGGTTAACTGTATTTTACAGGATTGCCGTGTCTACAGTATAAAAAACAGCATGATTTTTCATCCCATGTTCTGGATCTGCAAACACTGTTGTGATTAACACACAATGAGTTATTTTTATTACAGCGAAGGAATTTGTCTGATATACAACACGGCATTCTCTATTTCATACTTTGAATTTTTACACTAGAAGTTGTAAATTTTAAAAAAAGGCTCTTTAACATGGTTGACAGAGGACTCAAGCCAGTAAATATATTTCAGCTGTGGAGAGTTTCATAACTTGCAATTGACTGAAATAGAGAAATCTTTCTGGGCAGCAAAAGTGTGCAAATTTGAGCCAACTTCTCTGAACAGAAACTTGGAAAATTAAGAACTCTGGGTTAGATCAAGAAAGAGTTAAGTAGCTTAGTGTCTTGGCTGTTTTTTAATGTATGCTGCCACAGGAGTATCAGTACTATTAAGTACTGGTTAAGTGTAGTTCTAGACATCTCTTGGTGTCTAGAAAGACAGATTTACTGTTTAGAATTTGGTCAAGTAACCAGAATATGCTTTGCGTAGGAAAGCAGGTAGAGTTGTCAAATAGGTATCTCACAAATAAACTTGTGTCTGTGTTTATTATTGTTGGTTTTACAGGCTGTTTTGAGAGTGCGTTCTTACTTGGGATTTAAAGATAGAAAATTGGCAGAACTAGTCTTGACCTAAAAGAGATCTTTGCTCAGCCCTAATTTCAAAGGTTAGATAGTAACAGACTCTTACTGCACTTCCAAAGAAACTCATTCATGGAAGACATGGCTGAGTTGCCTCATACTCGCTACTCAGACTACATGGGACCTATCTGCACGGGTTTTTCCTAGGCACTCTGACTTTCAAACCCTTTGCATTGTGTTTGACTTCAAACCATGAGCTTCTCATGGTACTGTTACACGTTCAGAATCCTTTTCAGAGGTCGCAGAGCTGTAGTAGCACTGCTGCTCAGCTCAGCAATCTCCCTGACATCTTGGCAGCAGCATTTGAATAAGGATTGTACTTGGCACTGAGTTTTTCAGTATTTCTTTCAGGCCATGTAATGAGATTCATTGAGCAAAGCCAAGTGGTAGTGACTTGGGCTTTTTTGGTATGTGGCAGGTGGCCAGGCTAATGCAGCCTTCCCACCTGGGAGTCTTACGAGTTTCTTGTCATGTTTCTTCTGAGCTTTTAAATACGGAGAGCAAGCTTTAGGATGAAGGAATTTATATGGAGCTCTCCACTGAATTTATCCTCATGTGCTAGACAAATGTCTGTCATGGGAGTCCTAATTAGAACTGAACAAAAAGCAGCAAAATGCTGTATAGAAACTAAGCATGAACCACTGTGTTTGGCAATGGATGAGCAGATTTAGTGTTGATAATTCACAGTCAAGAATATCACCCTGCTGGTGTCAGACTGATGCTGCGCTGCTCAAAGCTTTGGGACCTACAGGAGGCCCAAGTTGGCTTTGTAAGCCTGGGGTCTCTGTCCACACTGGGAAAAGAGGGGTGTACAAACATCCTGATTCCCTCTTCCTACCATCAACTCTCTTGATAACCTTAAAGAGGTTCTTTTTGCGGTTGTGCAGAGCACTTGGTAGTCTGCTATCCAAGTACTCCGAGGTTCAGTAGAGGATGTGATCACACAGGTTACAGAATGGCTCTAGAGTCTGTGTTCTGTCTCCTGAATATCTGAAGTTGCCGTCAATGTTACTGCTGTCAGCGAGGTACAGCTTGCCTGCCATTCAGTGTGTACTATGTGTGCTGAATGCTGTGGCATGTGGTGACCAGACACAGACACATGTGCGAGGGACAGAGGCCTGGCTTGCTATCTTCTGTCCCCTGAAGAATCAGAACAGCTGGCTTGAAGGGCAAGTTCTAGCAGGCTGTCCCATGTAGATGTATGCCTGCTTGTATGGTTGTTTTGGGGCTTTGCACGCTGTATGCAGGAGATGACTTAAGTCCTCTAGACTGTGGTGGTTACATGAGATAAGGTAGTATTATGTATGGGAACGGTGCAACAAACTAACAGCATTTGAATGCCGTCCCTCTGGTCCCTTTTTGGTACATATGGCAAATAGTTACTGGGGTTTGTGTCTTATGGTAGGCGGCAGCAACCAAGAAATAACTTCAAATCTTGTGCATGACTGAGCACTTGATACTAGCCGAGCCATCTGTATCCCAGGTCTTGTGCAGAGGTCTGAGGTACACCTTGTGATTGCTGGGTCTGAAAAGTGCAACATTAAAACAAGCCATGAAGTGTTTAAGCTCAGTGTATAAAGGAAAACACTGGGTTATAACTCAGAGGCACAGAAAATTTTGGAAACATCTTGAAGTAAAGGCAATAAGGTTCTCTGATGATTTGTTGCAATATTTCCAATTTATGAATTCATTTGTGTCTCTGCAAGATCTCTTGAAATGCTGTCAAGTCAGAATGGTATTGTTTTGTGTGTGACTGGTACAGATGAGAACTTATGGGATGCTTCTTTTGGTTTCAGTTGTGGTCAAGAATGAGAAATTGTTGGACTGATTTTTATGGTACTTGAAATCATGAAATAACTGCTTTTGAAGCTGAGCACTGAAATGTGAAGTGAAGCAACTTCTGGAGATCCACTCATTTGGATCAGTTGTGTTTACACACGACTTTTTTTCAAATACACAAGAGTAAAAGGAAAAGTTAGTGCTGGTCTTTCTTACAACGTGGAATCATAGAATTCATTAGTACAGAGGTACTGAATTTGGGAAAACTTAGAGTGCTGAACAGAGTGAGTAAGGTACTGCATGATATTGGACATAGATCCATTGTTATGACATTGAATGCCCAGAAAACCTAACCAGCATTTCTCAAAAGATGTATTGTAATGCACACTATGGTATCCACAGGTCACCAGCTGGATGGAACAACTGTAATCATAAAGGAAAACACCAGTGAGACTGATGGAATGATAGGTGTTACGGCTTGCAGGGAAAAGCATAACAAAAGTGTGCTAGCATGAACAATGTACAGGGTGGAGATTGATCTATTTACAGGTGGAACTGAAAACCAAATAAAGTGAAGTAATACTCGACCAAAAAGGACTGAGGAAACCATTTACTAGGTTAAGCTCTTTATCAGTGGTTTATACTTTCTGGTTAATTCTGACGCAGGAGTCTTGTGACAAACAGCATTTGTAAAGAGAAAGAAACTGATAATACAGTAGCCAGGTGAGAGCAGAATCCTGTAGGTTGTTTCTGTATCTTGACTTCTCTGGGTTTTCTTATCTGAATTATGCTGAGGCTTTGAGGTATGGTATCCCACCAGACACAAACTGATACATAGGAGACACCTGCAAATGTCCCAGTTGGAGAAAAATCACTTGAATTTTGCATTTACAACTCATTTGTCACCAAATAATGTACTTGAAGGTGAATTGGTAATTCAGCTGTGATTCGTGTCTTATCAAATGAGATGCTGACTTGCAAAGAGGATTGTTTTATTTTTTGTAGTTAAAGTCTAAGTATTGGTGCTCTTGTGGATTTTCTGCCAGCCTGTGTATCACTGAGGGTACTGGTGAAGTTACCATTCTGTTTGGTTTCCCAAAACTTCTTGAAATTTACACTCTTGTAGTGCTGGTTGAAATTGGTCAGTTGGTTGAGAAATTACTTGGTTTAGTAGTAGGTGTTGAGAGCTGATGGGTATGTACACAGCTTGATCACCTAAATCTTGTTATTTTAAGAAAACAGACCAAAAAATGTAAGTCAGTAGATTTCACAAAGCATTTGGTCTCATGAAATTAATCTTAAAATATATACCTTGGGAATAAGACGTTAGCAGTTTATTACCTAAAGGACTAATTAAAAAAAGTTGTCATGATGTATACTAGTTTGGAGTTGAGTTGTTCAGTTAATTCTTCTAGTGACATGAGAGAATAAACATACAGAAATAAATTAAATACTTATTACTGAATGCCAGATTATGAGAATTTGCAGCATGGGGACTGACGCATGTTCAGCAGAATAATGAGAAATCCACCCTAGAAAATGTAGAACATATCCAGGGAGGTGAACTCTGAAAAAAATCTGGGGAAGTGACACGTGAATGCAGCAGTGTTAGAAGCCTTGATGTTTGTAATTGGTGGGCAGGTAAATTAAAAAAAATTGCAAGATGATTTGTAGTAGAAAACAAGATCGGTGTGATTTTTAAGGTTGCAGATAAGGTAGAGGAATATAAATTACATGTCTTATTCCAAGCTGTTATTTTCTGTGTGACTTGGTAGTGCAACAGAATAATTAACTGTGTAGGTGCTCCTCGTGTCAGCCTTTCTGATAGCTCAAAAAACCCCAAGCCAACTACCTGTAACTAGTCTGACACATTAGCTCTTTCTCGCTGAGCATGTGGCTTACACAACTGGCAAAACTGAGGAGCAGCCAACTGATGGACATGAACGCTGCTGCCAGGAGGGGAGGTCCTTCCTTATCCCCAAGTCCTAGCACACCTAATCCATTGCCTCACCAGAGCCGGCGGGGATACACAACTGGCTGAAGGCAAACTGATTCAGTCCACTCAAACAGCAGTACACTAGCATAGCAAAAACGTGCTTTGCAAGCTGAAAACTTGGCTCAGATGTGTGGCAGTGGAATTGAAGAGAGGGTTGTGTAGCTGGGAATGGAAAGGAGAAGGGAGAAATCCTTGTGCTCTAGCAGGCGAAACGTTAATTCAGCTCAGACCATCTCATGAAAGCAAGCTTTCTTAAAGAAAGATATGGTTTTTTCCTGATGAAAAATGTATTATCAGCATTCCCTTCATCATGCTGTTGAAATACTGTGTGGGTTTTGGTAAATGTTTCAAAAAGCAGAAGCCATCTGTTAACAAATCTGTGTTGCATTGCCAGCCTTTGACTTGCGCAGCTGGGAGCAAGAAAACACAGGTTAGATTAAAATCTTGGGATACAGTAAGAAAGAAGGCTGCACTGCTTAGGTACTTCAGCATTCAGGTGCAAGGAGTTTCTTTTCAACAACATTGTTAATAGAAATACGCTGTGTATACTGTAGGACTGTGTCAACAGGTTCCTCTGATTTTCAGAGATGGTATGTAACTGATAGTACAGTATGTAAGATCTTGTGTGAAGAAGAGATTAGAATGTGGATGAGTTAAAAAGAAATGCCCAAAATTAATAGCTTATTTGAATGGACTAATATGGATTCACATCACAACACAATTTAGTATGGCTTTACATCTTTATTATCATAGAATCATAGAATGGTTTGGGTTGGAAGGGACCTTCAAGACCATCTAGTTCCAACCCCCTGCCATGGGCAGGGACACCTTCCACTAGACCAGGTTGCTCCAAGCCTCATCCAGCCTGGCCTTGGGCACTTCCAGGGATGGGGCATCCACAGCTTCTCTGGGCAACCTGTCCTAGTGCCTCCCCACCCTCTCTGTGAAGAACTTCTTCCTGATATCTAATCTAAACCTCCCCACTTTGAATTTAAACCCATTACCCCTTGTCCTGTCACTACAGCGCCTTGCAAAAAGTTCCACCCCCCCCAGCTTCCTTGTAGCCCCTTCGGGTACTGCAAGGTGCTATAAGGTCTCCCCGGAGCTTTGTGATGGTCTGAAATGTCCTGTATGTCCATTTCTATACAGAAATACAATTCTGATGTTCTGTATTAGACAGGAGGTCACCTAGCATAGATTCCTGTCTTAGACAAAGCACATGGTCATCTGCCTCAAGGAATGTGTAAAAATCACTGGGAGCAGATGTGAGCATGGATCTCTTGTAAGAGACAGTCTCATGTTTTGAAGAGTTATTGTCCCTCCCAGGCTGTCTTGTATTGGCTGTTAAACAAGGGAATAGCTGGGACTCTTCCATATTCAGCTGTTACGATTTTACAAAGAATATTTGCATTTCTGTGTTGAACAGTGTCAGACCAAACTGGAATACTGATTAGATGTTGATGCTTTCTTTTGAATTTGCTCTGTTTATTCATGTTCTTGAATTCTTTCAGGAAGATCCAAAAAAATACAGGAGTCTAATATGCTTCTCTGTTTGATATTCTACCTCAGAAACTCATCATTGATGAGAAGAAATACTATCTCTTTGGGAGAAATCCTGATCTGTGTGATTTTACCATTGACCATCAGTCTTGCTCTCGGGTCCATGCTGCCTTGGTCTATCACAAACATCTCAAGAGGGTTTTCCTCATAGATCTAAACAGCAGTAAGTAGTGTGACATTTAACCAGGTAGAAGTACAATATTTCAGTGCTTAAACATTTCTGAATCTGAGACACTTTCTCCTTTTGTTGTTGTTTGTACTGTGTGGATAGATGACTATAATCTGAGTTGGCATCCTAGTGGAAGACTGGCAAGAGTTAGGAGCAAAGGAGTGTTTGCTCCCATCAGCTTACGTCTGCTTCATTTGACCTGTAGAATAACATTCCTAGACTCTTAAGAGGCTAAGGGAAACAAGTGACTTGGCCTTCCCTTCACAATTTTAATGAAGCTTTCTCTTCTGAGGGTGGTTTCCCCATATCTAAAACCCAACATGCTTGTTTATGCCAGAGGGAATTATTCTAGGCATGGTATATTGGGACTTCCAAGAATCCAGAAAGTAAATGGTGTTTGTCATTTATTTCCATGACTTTTTGAGGACTTGCATGTGTTATCTCAGTTTGTGAGATGGCGGGTAAAATGTACATAGCTAATGTTTTCAGCAGCTAATGTTTTATCTCGGAGCATCTGTGTACAGTTTCTGATCTTTACGAGACTTAAGTTTGAACACGCTGAGCCCAAGCTGGTGACTAACAGACTGTTTTGCATTTTGATGTTCTCAGCACATGGCACATTCTTGGGTCATATCCGTTTGGAACCTCACAAACCCCAACAGATACCCATTGACTCCACAGTTTCATTTGGAGCTTCTACACGGGCATATACTCTGCGAGAGAAGCCTCAGACACTGCCATCAGCAGTTAAAGGAGACGAGAAGATGAGCGGTGATGATGAAGAGCTCAAGGGCTTGCTGGGCCTGCCAGAGGAGGAGACAGAACTTGATGTGAGTACGATGGCAGACTGCACCTAGATGGCATTTCCAGCTAAACAGATAGCATTCCCCAGTTTGCTTAGGCTCAGAGTCGCAGCTTCTTAGCCTTGAAGGCAGTCCGAGGTATATTCTGCTGGCAGATGCACAAACTGTCTTGTTCTGCCATAAGCCTGTGATCATGCTGCTTCCCAGAATCAGTGACCTAATCCTACTATTCCAATGGTCTTCTCTCCAAGGCTTGCTAGGAGACTACATGCTTTCCAGCTAACATCACCCCAGGTCAGGGGTGATTTCCCCCACTGTTCCCTGTTGCCAGGTAACAGTGAATGCTGCCCTGCTTCCTGCAGTTAGCTAGTGAAGAGGGAGAAGGCTGTGTGTATGGCATTCACAGGTTTGAGGTTGGAAGGGACCTCTCAGGTTCATCTAGTCCAGCCTCCCTGGTCTTGCAAGGTCAGCTAGAGCAGGTTGCCCAGGACTGTGCTTGGTTCTGCATATCTCTGCTGAGAGAGACTCTGCAGCCTGTCTGGGCAACCTTTTGCAGCACTGGAGCACTCTTTCTTCCCAGGGGTCTAAAGTTGAAACTAAAAAGTGTGATGTAGTCTTCTGATATGCACAGTCATGTGATTAAATCAGACTTGATACACTAGTTGCTTAAACTGTTTTGTCTCCAAATTTCTCACTAGAACCTGACAGAGTTTAATACAGCCCACAACAAAAGAATTTCCACACTAACCATTGAGGAAGGGAACTTAGATATTCAGAGACCAAAGAGAAAACGGAAGAACTCCAGAGTGACATTCAGTGATGATGATGAAATCATCAATCCGGGTAAGTAGTTTGCTTTAACATTTAGTTGATGCCTTTAAGACTCTCTTTCCAGTATTCTCACAGGGATTCCTCATAGTTGCTTATGGATAAGGAGAACAGAAATTTGGCAGTCGATATTTGAGATCTGCTACTTCAGAGAAGCTGCCACATGTCTCACTCAAGTCTTCGACCTTTCTCTTTCTTCTCTTTTACCTGTAAAATAACTGCATGGTTTGTGCAGGATAGGGATATCACGCTCAGTTTCATTCTTCAAAATTCTTTCAGATGTTGTAAAGGTCTTGTGGGCCCAAAGGGATTTTTGCCTTCTTTAGAATCTAAAAACGTGGGGGGTTTATGTGTTCCTTAATGCTTTCCTTACCTGTTGCCTAATGGATATTTGTCTTGAGCTCAGAGTTTTCTGCTACTTGTCTGCACATCTGAAAGAAGTAATTATCATTCAAAACGATGCTTCTGATGATGTATCCAATTCCTAATTAGTAATTTTTCTCCCTTTGCTGTTTTATATTAATGGCAATGTTATTTTATATGGATAATACTCCTAATGAGTAGCTTACTAATGAGTATGCATTTAAAAGTGTAGTCTGGAGCTAGTTTCATTTGGCAGTGCATACCACCCAGAATAACTGTTTTGATTTATCAGGTTATGCGACTTAGTGCTCAGAACAGCCTCATGTAAACAGCTGTCATTCGCATTACAAAAAGGTTTTTTTCAGAGTTTCAGACTCTACACTGAATCCTTCTGATTCCTCTTTCAAGGTGCCCCAAGGGCTGCTGGGGCTAGCTGTTGTGCCTTTGAGCATGTGCGTGCCTTGTCAGCAGCAGCTTTCAGCCCAGAATTCCAGTCTGATCAGTGCAAACTGGCCATCCATCTGTCCCTTTCCCTATTCTCTGGGGTGTGGAAGCCTGTATCTGGTGAGGCCACCTCGAGCCAGAGCCACTAGGTGTCCCCTTAGCGCCGCTCCTTGCTTGGGCCTGCTTGTGCTTACTGAGAGCTACTGGAGCACTGACTTTGAGAAGGTCCGTGTACCAATTCTTCATATAAAGGTTCCTTCAACTCACAAATGTTCTGTCTTTCCCTGTATTCTTCCTGAAAGCTTTACTGTTCTTGCCTTTACAGAGGATGTGGACCCTTCTGTTGGGCGTTTCAGGAACATGGTACAGACAGCAGTAGTCCCTGTTAAGGTACAGAGTAACTCCCAGCTTTCTAATTAATACATTACATTGATGAACTCGCTTTATGAATTACATCTTAGAAACATATCCTATGGTGGAAAGTGTTTTATTGTTAAGCAAAAGTTGTGTTCATGTTTCGCAGTTGTCTTTTAGCAGATCTGACCATTTCCCATCAAATCCAGCTTTTCTTTAATAATGCATGTGATCAATGGCAATTTTTTTTTTTCTTCCCAAAAAGAAACACTTTCCAGAAGTTCTGTGTGGTAGTTGTAGGCATCAGTTAAAATTGTGGGAGGTGTGGAAAATAAAAAGTGAAAATAAGAGGTTGTTTGTTTAAATACTCTAAGTGTTGTTAATTTCACAAGGTTGTCTGCTAGACCTAGCAGGGTTTAGACTTTGCTCCAAGGTGAGTGTGTTGGCAGTGCTGTATTTAATTTGAGTATGCTAGGAGCAGGGAAGATTTGAAAAACTTCATGGTAGCTAAGCAACAGTGTGATAACAATTGTGCTTGTTGCTGGTATACACTTAGTAATGTATGTGGAAAAGGATTGTTCTACATAAGTCCCAGATTGCAGGATAAGATTCAAATGATCAAGAGCTAGACAAAATCACCCAAGTGATCTAGAAGTTGCAGTTTCTTACTGTGGGGGAAGGAGCATCTGTTACTGACTAAAGACCTACTTGTCTTGTGTTCAGGACAGCCTCAAGACTGGCAAGCATGAACAGGAAGTAAAGATGCTCAGACCTGATCAAAGTTAAACCTGAGCTTCAACTTCTGTCACTGCTTCCTGCGTTGTGCACTTTTAAGAGTTTATTATTAAGTAGTTTTCAAGGAAATACAGAAAACAATCTTCTAGGACATGGTCTGTAGCCACTTTATATGTGGCTGGTCAAAGTGCCTTTTTGGGAAAAATGACATTGCACCCAGTTTAAATAGCTTGCTTGTTTAATGTATTTTTAGTAATTCTTTAAATACTTCCATCTGCAGAAAAAACGGTTGGAGAATCCAGGCTCACTGACCACAGATGATTCTTCATCACGACGTATGCAAATTTTTGAGGATTATATGGTGGTTTACCTCCAACTCACAATGAGGCAGGTTCCCAGTCGCATGGCGTCCATGGGACAGCACTCATTGGTGGTCTGCCAATGCCCTACCCCAATCTTGCCCCAGATGTAGACTTGACTCCTGTTGTGCCCTCAACTGTTAACATGAACCCAGCTCCGAACCCCGCTGTCTTTAATCCTGAAGCTGTGAATGAACCCAAGAAGAAGAAGTACGCAAAGGAGGCATGGCCTGGCAAGAAGCCAACCCCTTCCCTACTGATCTGAGTTGGGTTTTGTTGAGAGAGGGTGGGAGTTGCGAACTCCAGAAACTGTTTGTGTGCGGTATCGTCTTTTTAAAATTTCGGTGTCCTAACCAGATGTAATGCCAAGATTGGAGAAGTGAAGTATCCTGCAAGTGAAAGATCTGTCTTCAAACATTTTTATGTCTGTTTAAAAGAAAAAAAAAAAATACAGCTCCCATCTTCTTCTGAACCAAAATATCTGGCAGCCTTTTCTTAGCCATTACTGTCCCCAGAGGTTTTTACTCCAAATTTCGATCCATAAATGGAAGGGGCAGTATCATACAGTTTAATTATCATTTATGGTCTGACCTTGCGCATCCATGCATTTAGGTGTCGTGCTTACTATGAGTAATGTTCCTGCTGGACTTGCTTGTAGCAGGTCAGCTGTATCAGTAGTAAACGTTTGTGGGGCCAAGCCTTTCAGAAATCCCATTGGTATGAGTTCTAAAACTTGCAAAATGTACGTCAGCTGTTATTTTTTACATTTTTAAAACCCCACCAATGTGGGGCGCTGTATTTTTTGTTTCTTTTGGCTACAGCTTGTTTTAATTTCTAGCTAAAACACTACAACATCCCATCAGTTCAAGAGAGCATGGAGTTGAAATGGACAACAGGAGGTGGGCTTCCCTAGCTGTGTCCCAGTATTGCACAGCGGAGTGCTGTGTGGATGGGTAAAGGGGTGCACAGGATGGATCTGAGCTTGCGCGGGTGCTGCTGGCAGCATACGAGCGTGGCAAGCCGAGGAGCGTTTGACTGGTGGATGGGCACTGTCTACACTGTACAAACAAATAAATAGCAAAGTGTTGACTCTCTCTCCTGTGGTTAACTAAAGGTGGAGTTAACACAGAGGAAAACAGTTTCTTTTTAAAATTTGGTGGCCCTTCTAACTTAAATAATTTCATTTTATTTGCAAATGGAATTTGTGAGTATAGAGTATATGTGAGATGCAACAAGACACACATAAAAACGAGCAGCCATCAGCAGTGTCAGAGGATTTGCATATTTAACAACCAGACCCACCATCTGCAGACTATTCCGGCTGCTAGTAACAGTGGGTGAGAACTGAGTGCTACTTAGGGCTAGAATACGAATTCCCAGTAGAGAATCCGCCCCACCTTGAATAAAGCCCTGCAAAAGTGTGCATAATGTAGTTTTTGACTACTTCATCACTTTTTCCCATTGAATAAAATGAGAAGCTTGATTTGGATGGTTGCTATAGCCCTTCAAATCCTTGGTTTTAAATCACAAAATCTGACTCACATGTAGTCAGATGCTATGTCTTTATACAAGGTAAGGCCAGAGCTCTGTTTTTCTTAGGTTTACTCTCAATTTTTTTACATTCTGTAATGCAGTTCAGCTACATAGTCACTGTCCTTTGTTTGGGGGATTTCTCCAGGAAATGTGCACTAAAATGACAGCAGTATACCCAGCTGTTCCTTGTGTACAGGACTAGCTGCCTGCCTGAGGAGTGCAGTAAAAATGCGACGGTGGCTGGAGCAGTGCTGTGTACAGTGCATCTGGTGTGCTGTGTGCCCTGGGCCTGTTTTGGACAGATGCTCCAAAACCCGCGTGACGTCTGCAGAGCGATTGCTTCTCTCATGTTTCTGAGTTAAAAATGAGCTCATAGCTGCCGTGTTACAAGAGCCTGTTCCCCTCCCTGCACCATCATACCTAGCTCAGACTGTTGGATGGGTGAGTACAGCACCTCCTCCATGACAGAGTCATGCAGCTCCGTGTTTAGTTGCTCTTAAATACGATGCAGTCCTCGGAGGCTTTGCTTCCAAGCACTCCATGCTGACTGTTAAGAACTTTCTCCCTTTATTTTCAGGTTTGCTTCTTTCTGGTATGTAGAATTTTGTTTTTCCAGCCAGTCTGCTTTATGAAGGCAATTCTAGGTAAAACTAGTTAATGCAAGTAAAAGTTGAGCAGATTTTCTTCCTTCTTCTTCCCCCCCGCCCCCCCCCTTTTCTGTTTTGGGTTGTTTGGTTGGGTTTGGTTTTGGGTAGGTTTTTTGTTTTCTTGGGGCAGGAGGGGTATTTTAGGTTTTTTGCAAGTGGCGCTCTGCAAGATTTGTCTTGAAAAGGGAAGTTTTACTGCTCATTGGTTTTTAAAGGTCTTCTCCTCACTGGGATTGAACAAGCTCTTATTATTTTAGAGCTTAGGGGCCATAGCTGACCAGTACAGGAGGGGACAGTATAACATCTAGGGGCATTGTACAGAAGTTTGTACACTTGTGTAATATGTAATAGGCCTTTTCACACTTTCTGTTGAGCTTTTTACCTGTAACCTTTACTATGTTGTAAATTAAATGCAGATTTTGCCAGTTTGGAGAGTGTAGTGTGTTCGTTCCCAGTCTACACTTACGCAGTTGGGACTGTACCCTGGTTTGTGGCTTACTGAAGGATTTCTGCTGTGGGGAACTCTAGCTATTGCTGCAGATCTGGTTCTTAGCGGCTGACTCAGGCTGCAGCTCTTAATGCTGCTCCAGCTTCTTTGCTTGTGACCTGCTTTGCTGCCTTGTGCTGCAGTGTGTTGCACTTTTGCACACAAATTTTAACTTGCTTACCTGTTAAAATTCCCTTACCTTTGTTTCCTGAGTGAAGGTTTACCTGCTTCTGGCATAATCCTCTCTGCAAAAGTTATACTTTAGAGCCAACTTTGCTCTTCTCATAGCCCAGCTTGCTGCCTCTGGCCTACAGAGTGGCCTTGGGCAGTCTAAATGCACGTTCTTTGTCACACTCTGCCTGGAGCTTGTCGTATGCTCACTGGGGAGAGCTGTAGTGGAAAACAGTAAACGGGGACCTGATTAAAGAGAACTGTGGTGCCTGCAGTGTAGGGTTGAGAGGGATTCTCAAGCTTTGCTGAATTTAGCAGTATTTAGGCTATAGATTAGTATTTCTTCTCAATCCAGCAATGTCCTTTAAGCAGCTGGGCCAGCTACATTTTCATTATTGTGTGTCAGCAGAAGGCTGAATCTTCACACTGCCATAGGTAGAAATAGTAGAGGTTAGGTGGTTAACTTTGTCGTCTGATGTTTTAAGTGTTGGTGTAGTTAGCAATTACCTCCCTGTATTAAAGGAAGTATTAAAAAGGAGTCAGCTTGCATGATAATCTAAAGCACTCTGCAATATGGAATGCAGAGATGGGTACGAAGAAGTGGAGAAGAGTTTGCAGCTAAGTAGATGATTAAGCTAAAGAATAATGGCAGTGCTTTCCAGGAACATCTGTTCTTGCAGCATTCACCAGATTGTCACCATAACCCCTCTTCTCTTTTGGTCTTGAAACACAAGAGTGGACCACCCAGCAGACATCCCAAGAGCTAGTAATGAGCTGACAGAAGTTGCTCTATTCCCATGTGCTGTGCAATGAGATACTGGTGTGATGACAAGCCTAAAAGAATGACTTCTTGGAGAGGAAGGTGACTTCTCCCTGGGGCCTTTAAGAGTGGAGGAATAGCTTCCAGTGCAGAACAGGTGAGTGTGCCAGCTGAAGTGTGTGCTCGTGCAATTATAGCAAGTGCTTTGAAACACTCGGTGGCATGGGGAAAGTCCGGAGTAGAGGGTTGGGCTGGCAGACACAGCTTAGGACAAGCCAAAGAACTGTGGCTGTGTATTGGGTATCGCTGGGCTCTGAGGTCAGGTGCTGTTAAAGAGCTTTTTTCAAAATCAGTCTAATACAGTCAATTTGCCAGTTCTTTGATCTCAAAACTGCCTTAATCTAGCAGTGTTAGGTAAAGGGGAGAAAAAAAGTTTCTGCTTTCACTTCTGCTCAACACCAGAACAGCTCCGCATTCATATGAGCTGTGCTGTCACTGGGACCTACCTCATTGGTGTAAGGGACAGGAATGCTAGTGTAAGACTGACAGCATGAAGTAGGATTGTGGCAAGTTCAGGATAGACAACAGTGTGTTTAGGGTCACAGTTTCCTAAATTAGCCTTCTCCGAAGATCCCATAACCAGCAAAGCAGTAAGAGGTACCTCACGTACCAGCATCACATCAGTGCCTGAGACTGACCCTGCCTCCCTCTGTGGCCCTGCCTCTTCCACAAAGGCCATAGCTTTCCAGCAGCATTTGGTTGCTTCAGTGTTTTCTTTTGCTTTTTATGAATTTCCTCAAACTGATGTCCTCTTCAGAAAAGCTTTAAGGGAGAAGGAGCTAAAGAGCCCAAATCTTTGCTGTCCACCCTCTTCTATCTGTCTTGTATATTCTGGCATGCATCTGTGAAAGGTCTCCATCACATTTGCAGAATGATAGAGGAGGAGGAAGTTGTAAATACTAGATGTACTCCAAGTACTGCTCTGGTCATTCTGACACATGTTGCCATGGCCCAAGTTGCTTACTGTTGCTTTCAAAGACACCCAGATGGGGAGCTGCTTGTATGTGTGCTGGCCATTGAGGAACTGGCCAGTAATACTGGACTAACCTAGCAATTCCGGTCATGGCTGATCACAGAGGCTTTTCTGAGTCACATCTTGGCTGTGATGAGTCATTTCCTGCCTGCGGTTCCCTACCTACTTCTAGATATGTCAAAGAGGTCTTCCTTTGCTTGAGCCTGGAAGAAATGGAAGCAGCATTTCTCCTGTAAGCAATGGTGTGTTTATGCCCGTGTCACCCCAGGGCAAGTCCTTTCTGAAAGATGCAACCAGCCTTCTCCAGTATCTTTGTAAAAGTACTGGTTTTAAAACTTCGAGAGCTAGCAGGAGCTCGTTCTCTATTAACCTCTCCCATACAGGCTTACCAGAGTGCTCAGTTACTTTGAGAAGTTTCAGGGTTCAGTGAAGATGAGAAAGAGCCTGGAAATGGGCTGTTTAGACAGTGGTTCCACTGCCTGCTTCATCTTGGATACTCAAGAGTAGCTCTGATAATCCTTGCATGTTGACGGGTCAGAAAATGTTTGTGCTCCACTGCAGGGAGTATTAGAAACCTTCAAGGTGAGGTTGGTTCAGGCTGAGACACCAGTTTTGCTTGGATCCTAGCAGCTGATGTGATCCCCGGAGTTCATATATCTTCTGTGCTTGTCTGCCTGGGGCCCTGCTTGTGTTTGAGGAGCAATGACCTCCTGCATTCCGTAACTTCAGGATGACTTGAGGACTGTGTAAAAATCTGTGAAAACTCCAGTTGTCCTTCTGATGTCCTGCAAGGCAATTTCTGTAGCAATTTTTTTGTTTCCCCTGTTGAGTTTGGACACCCAAAGATCAGGTAGACAACTTTGCTCCCTAAAGCTGCACATGGTTGATGCAATGTTGATTTTTCATCCCTGTGACCTGAAGTTGGCCTG